TTGTGGTCCTAGGGTGTGTGTATGGTCGCACACGGGAGTGTGCGGCCGCACACAAGGAGTGTGCTGCCGCACAAGCGTGTTTGTGCCCGCACACGGGTGTGTGCGGCTGTACACCCCACACAAAGATGACCAAAATGCCAAATCTAGGGTGTAACAAGGCTAGTTTCATGCCTAACTCGAATATGGAAGTCCAACTCTCACTTTGGAGGGTCTTTTAGGAGTGTGTGGCCCATCTTATGAAGGTGTGAGGCCGCACTCCTTCAAAGAATGAAGAACATGATGATTCAAGGCTTAGACCAGTAGGTCCTTCATGTATGATAAACTAGGTGATGGAAAACTCACGTTTTTTAGGCCTTGGGAGGGTTTGCGGTTGAAGACTCTTAAGAGAAATGGTGTTGTGTGTGGCCAAGGAGTGAAAGGAATGAAAGGAAAGGGTCTACCCTTTATATAAGAGTGAGTGTGTGGCAAGGAGGGGTGTGTACAGCCATACATCCATGTGTGCGGTCGCACACTCATCCAAAAGGGGTCTATGGTCCGGTTTTGCTATTATACGCCTTGCAGACTCATTCCTAACCTCAACCTTGACTGTACCCATGCTTAGAATACTTAAATGGACCCTTAAACAGTGCTAGAAGTTAACAGTGTTGGCTTAACATTGATTAAATTGACTAGATGTACAATGAGAAAGTTTTGGGTTGTCACAATACTCTGCTTGATGAAGGGGCCAACGCTTGGGTAAAAGGCTTTTCTCATTGTTCACCTCTCACCCTTATCTCATGGTCTATATCACCTCTCATCTCGTCATCAAACTCATATTTCATCTACCCATGTTTTACCCAACATATTTTGTAGATATAAAATACATGTATAGTCTAAATCATTCAAAATATGTATAAAATCGTTCATCCAGCATAGACAGCAAGTACTCAGACAATATGCACACATAGCACGTAATTTATATAAAATACTTCATATCTATGTGTAAAATGAAAGTAACTATGCACTCACTTGTTAAAGTGTTGATTCCAAACTCGAACATCACTTCACTTCTTAACAATATAATTTCCTTCGACGAAACCTAATATTATTACTAATAGATTTTAGTCTAATATTTACCATGACTAATTATTAGTCTTAGCGTTATTATTATTATATAAGTGTTTAAACAATATTTTCCAACCAATATGTACAGACAGGGCCAGACATAAAACACCGGAGGGCAGAACCATTTTGGCATATAACACTTCTGAAATCCAACAACCCTATGCGGCCCTTTAAACCAGATTCCTCGTACCGCGAGTAGTTAAAAACATATTATAACGACACTTATATAAGTCATAATAATAGCCCAAATATTTATTATAATTTCATAATAACAACACTAATTTTAAATATAAGCTTTATTTAAAATAGGGTAAGTATAACTTACTTACAAAGGGATTTTTCTAGGAGTAGGGCTCAACAGGGGCAAAACTTTGTCGCTGAATCTTTCTAAGAAAGATTATTGTAGCGCTTCAGCGTTTACCTTACTATACTAAAACTATAGAAAGAAAAGTCAAATCACGAGGGACCAAAATGGTAGAGGGATAAGTAGAGAAAGACTCTTGAATCAAGAGAATGGTGCAAGAAATATGAGAGCTAGAGGCTCTTATTTATAGTGATTGAATTTTTGAAAACTAGCCTCCATAGTTACTTAATGACCTTATAGTTATATAAATGACTAAACACCCATTTATAATATTATTTTAAATAGATTTAATGATATTTGTACTAAAATAATGTCAACAGTGCTCAACGTTAGTCTTATAATGACCGCACTATCGATACATTTCTAATGATATATACATATGTATATATATGTAGACGTATATATGATTTACGCTTTATTTTAATACGTAAATGTGCTATTAAAAATTATAACTCATTCATAAGAACTCTATTTTTGACGTGCTTTATATCCACGCGTTGGTATTTACGAGTACTACAACTTTCACTACGACGTCATCAAGTAATTCTCATTCTATCTCAGATTTACAAAACTGTATCGAATTTATCGCGCTCGAAGAGTAGGGATCAAGTTTCATCCATATCCTTAACATACGAGCTCTATTATCAACATTATTTATATCCACCCGTTAGTATTTATGAGTACTACAATTTTCATTTAGACTCCATCGGCTAACTCTCATTCTATCTCGAATTTACAAATATGTATCGAATTCACCGCGCTCGAAGAGTAGGGACTAAGTTTCGTCCATATCTTTCGCATACAAGCTCCATTTTTTACTGTCTTTTTATCATTGAACTTGTATTAACGATATATTCATTTCTCGTTTAGACTTTTTTGGTTAAAAATCGACCGATCTAAAATTCGAATTTCGGCTATGCACTCCTATGCTAAATCTTAGAAAAATCATAACTTCCTCATACGAAGTCAGATTTTGATGTTCTCTTTATGCACACTCTCGGTTTAACATGTACAACGACTTTCGTTTAGATCGCTAAGGCTTGAAAGTATTTTATCGTAATTTCACTTTTTACGCTTCCTAGTGTCGTGTTCTTAGTTGAAGTAAGTATCGAATTGGGAGCAAAATCACACAAGTGGTTTACAAGGAAAGCCTTTGATCCATTTTAGGATTTCCAACACAAAACATTGGGACGTGGTAATAATCACTTGTCTTGTTTAAGTATATTGATTGAAATGTGAGTTACAGAAATGGAGGTAAGTATACGAGTAAATCTTTTGTAGTGAATCTAGTTGTTTGTAGTGTGCATAGTACATGTTTATTTATAGTCTAGTCTAAGTAACTAGAGGTCCGATATTTCCGAAATCCTCTTGAATAAGTATCAACATGTTGGTTTGACTTGGTATTTCCGGGCCTTAAGCCTGATGAAATCATTTTTTCGTTGAGAATTAGTTTTATGTTGACCATTTCTGCACATGTGAAAAATAAACAAGAAACATATTTGGTAAATTTTGTTAAAAAATAATAATAATAATAATAATAATAATAATAATAATAATAAGGATCCTGACATATGTTTCATGATGTCCAAATATCATTGAGATCTCGGGATCCTGGATAGGATTGGGGATTTTGGCTCTAACACTCTTGTTAATCATGTTAACTCTAACAAAATACTTACAAAAATTAAATTGTAGGAAATCCATATCTTAATTACTAATCCAATTATTCTCCTATAAATTGTTACGTAATTATTTTTTGCGTTCTTCTAAATTGGAGAGTAGTAAGTTGGCACACCTATCCCTTATATAGTATAAAATATGATTGGTCCATTCTTTTCAGCCATAAGCATTTGTAAATTTCATCCATGATAGTCCTTAATAAAAATACAAATTACTCATTAGTCAAACCATAATCGATTTACTTCATTTATATTTAAGAGTCCATTACTTCATTTGTAGCGAATTTAATCAGGAACCCAAAATCTGATTTAAAACCTGGATGCAAAACAGAAGTTACGTGCACAAGGAAAGGAAACCACCGATATTGATTCAACTGAGGTCACCAATAGCTCAGTTTTTGAAACTTTTTTGCAGCCCAGAATGATCATATCCGTCTCCCTCCTCGATCTTTCCTTTGTAACTCCCTCACTTTTTCCATCAGCGCACAAATTTGTGGTCAAATTAGCGGAAACAAATAGGAAAACCTAGGTCGTTGTACACCCAAATTGTTAGAAATATTATTCATCAAACCACCATGATTAGTTAAGTATCTACAAACAAAAGGAAATACTTACAAACACATATTAAAACTACACCAAGATCTATCTGTTTGTAGTGATCTATCTGTTGTCATGAGTCATGAAGTTTTATACAAAAGATGATAATTATATATAAACTATCTCCTAATTTTCAATTGTTCCCTTTCCCTTTCCTTGGTTTACGTTTCCTGTAATCCACAACCACATTCACAATATAAGAATAAACTTCACGAGTAATTTAACCATACATTATCACATCATAACACATCGTTATCATATAATCATATTCGTCATTTTTAACTTAATGTTCTACAAAATAATGCCAACCTATAACTCATTAGGAGGCCTCCATATTATTTGAAAATTTTCATAATACTCATATATAACTACAACACGTACACCCTTCTCTTGGCATATTTTTAACTTACCAGACTTATTGCCATTATAAGTCATGCTAAAATACTCATTTTGTTATATTCATGTAACCACATATAGGAACGTAAATATATTTATATAGCTCTAAACAATACAACACAATACATAGTGTGAGTTAAAGTTATACTACTCACCTTGATTAGGTTGACAATAGCTTGTTCCAATTTTGTGAGATCTCGTTCCAAGTTTTGTTTCATCGAAACCTAGTCAATAATACAACTATTAAGTGTTATGACGCGTTCATAATCAATAACACTACAACATAGCTCCAAAATACTCAATTATGTGTAACAAAATATCAAATACTCAATTTATTCATGTAATTAGAATTGATCATCTTTGTATCCTTAATAGACATATTATGAACATAATTCGGCAAAATCACGCAACTTCAATTTCTAGGGTTAGAAATTCATCCTCAAATTCACATAATTAATTGTTGTTATTACTCTACACACTTAGAATCAAGTAATTACCACTTTTATTTTCTACTACTTTGATACGACCCAACATTTGGGTCGATTTGGTCAAGTATATCGGAGGCGGCACAGGAGGGGATAAATATAGTTGGCAATAAGTTATTTATTTGATTTTGTTTCTTCTTTTGCTAAGTTTATTTTGGGATGTTATCCAGTTATTTTAGGAAGTTATTTTTGGTTAGCTGGACACTATAAAGTTGGTGCTCCCTTGATTGTTTAGCGTTACGTGTTTAATAAAATCCAGTCTTTGACTTTGGGAGTATACCTGTTCTCAAATACAGGTAATTTCAGACCCTTCTCTTAGGGTTTGGAACTTTGGCCCTAACATTTGGTATCAGAGCCCTCGATTCTAAATACACGATGTCTAAGGCTAATAACACTGATAGAATCACAAGTTTGGAAGGATACGTGGCTAAGATCCGTGAGGAGGCAGAAAACGCTCGCAAGGAGAGTGCTTTGCAGATAGCAGAGGTTTTGAAAGCAGTCAATGACTTAACCACAAAGTTGACCAGCAAGGACGACGAGACTTCTACACCTAAGAAACTTCCACCTAAGGACCTTCGATGGGGCTCATTTAAGGTGGATGATGCTGAGAGTGATGGTTGGGATAGCAAAAAGAATCATAAGGAGTACGGGGACGAGAACAAGGGCAGATCTGGTACTACTAACTACAGGAATGGGGATTTCCGAAAGATCAAGATGCCAATCTTTGATAGTGAAGACGCGTATGGGTGGATATATCGAGTTGAACGATACATTGAAGTTCAAGGGGTTGAGGAACAGGACCAGATGAAAGTAGCAGCACTGTGCATGGAAGGAACGGATTTATCATTATATCGCTGGAGTGAAGGGAGATCTCCTTGTCCCTCGTGAGAGAGACTCAACCAGAGGTTATTATCTCGATTTCAACCATCTTATGGAGGCAACGTTTACCAGCAGTTCCTTGCCATTTATCAGGAAGGGACAACACGAGACTATGTTTGCAAGTTTGAAAGGCTAGCGGGTCAACTTATGGACATCCCAGAGGTGATATTGGAAGGTACTGTTGGTGATTTAATCACCAAAAATATTTTAGTGTAATGGATTTAACAAGTGTTTCAAGAACAATGTTTTAGTTATAATACAAGTTAGGAGGTGTGGGAGTGCACACTTGTATTTACTAAATATTGTTAGTACTGAACCCTGATTTACTGTGTCAAGTCGGGGTTCGGGGCAGCGCCCCGAAAAATACAAGGTATAATTTGTTATTCTTTAAAAGATGCAAATACAAGGTATAATTTGTATTTTCTGAAAGTTGAAAACCGTTCTCGTTTTATCCGTTGTGTGGATAAGTCCGGGAAATACAACGACTTCTTTGAAACACAGAAAAACGGAAATCGATTTCTTCTTCATTCTCTCTCAAAATTGATTCTGGTTTTATGCCTAAAATCAGAATTGTTCTTCAGGAATTATCCTAGTTTGGATTTCGAGATACCCAAGGCAATTAGGGTTGAAATATCAAACAAGGAAAGTGTATAACACGATTCCTGTTTGTGATCCAGATTTTCTATAACTCAAATTTTTGAAATTCCCTAACAATCTTGTTTGATATTTTGTTTTCGTGAAAAGATGGCTGGCAATTCATTGAAAGACATGAATACTTCTTTTGGAAAATTGGAGAAATTTCAGGGCCAAGATTTCAGACGTTGGCAAAAGAAGATGCACTTCTGGTTGACCACTTTAAAAGTTGTTTATGTTCTCTCTACTCCAAAACCAGAAGAGGTTGAAGATGCAAGTCTGGAACAAATCAGAAGGAGAAGCAAATGGGAGAATGACAACTACATCTGCCTTGGTCACATTCTTAATGGTATGTGTGATTCCCTCTTTGACACTCATCAAAACATTGAAACTGCAAGTGAATTATGGAATACACTTGAAGCAAAATATATTGCAGAAGATGCTTCAAGTAAAAAGTTCATTGTTTCTGATTTCAACAATTATAAAATGGTTGATTCTCGATCTGTAATGGAACAATATAATGAAATCCTACGAATTTATGGTCAATTCAAACAACACAACATGTCCATGGATGAATCCTTTGCTGTTTCAAGTGTGATTGATAAACTTCCACCCTCATGGAAGGATTTCAAACACCATCTGAAACATAGAAAGGAAGAAATAAGTTTGATTCAACTTGGGAGTCATTTGAAAATCGAAGAAGGACTTCGTGATCAAGAGAATGACAAAGGAACTGGAAAGGGCAAATCTGATTTTGGACAGCCCCAAGTTCATATGGCTGAATGTGATAAACAAGACAATTCTAATCACAAGGGCAAGGGCAAAAAACGTAAATATGAGGGTCACAACAAGAAGTCCAATAAAAAATACAAGGATTCCAAGGAAATTGTGTGTTGGAGATGCCATCTGAAAGGGCATATGAAACGTGACTGTCGGGTGAAACTTGGAAATAAAGGTGCAAGTGGTAGTGGAAAAGATGGTACTGGTGGTGGCAGTGGATCTCATGATCAATCTGCAACCAAAGGTCAAATTTCTATTGATCTTGTAAGTTCAGTATTCAATGTTATGCTACTAACTCCAGAAGTTTCTTTTGTACAGGGGGTTGATACAGATTCATGGTGGCTTGATACCTGTTCTACACATCACGTGTGTAATGATGAACGGTGGTTCACGAAGTTGAACATAGTAAATAAAGGTTCTGTCTTACATATGGCGGATGAAGGATCAAAGCCAATTTTAGGATCTGGTGTTGTTAGTATTACGTTTACTTTTGGAAAAACAATTAATTTGTTTGATGTATTGTATGTTCCAAAGGTTCGAAAGAACCTTGTGTCTAGTGGTTTGTTGAATTGTATGGGTTATAAACAAGTGATCGAGTCAAACAAGTATGTGTTGTCTAAATGTGGAATATTTGTGGGATTTGGTTATTATTGTGATCGTGTTTTTAAGTTAAATGTTATAAGTTGTTTTGCATCACATGTCAAATCTACTTGTATGACTTCTGCATCTAATCTTGATAACTCTATGTTATGGCATAATAGATTAGGGCATGTTCATATTAAAAGAATGATTGAAATGTCAAAATCCGGATTGATTCCAGCTTTTAACATTAATTCTGAAAAATGCAAAACTTGTATGTTAACTAAAATCACGAAACAACCGTTTCCAAATGTTAATAGAAAATCCAAATTGTTGGAATTGATTCATAGTGATCTATGTGATTTCCATGCTATACCTTCCTTGGGAAATAAAGAGTACATTGTTACCTTTATTGATGATTCAAGTCGGTTTTGTTATGTATACTTGTTACATTCCAAAAATGAAGCTTTGGAAAAATTTAAAGTATATAAAACCGAAGTCGAATTACAGTTGGGTATTTCTATAAAATGTCTTCGGACAGATAGGGGAGGAGAGTACATGGATTCTGAATATTTTCAATCGGTTGGAATTATTCATGAAATCACAGCTCCTTACAATCCACAGCAAAATGGTGTTGCTGAACGGAAAAATCGAGTTCTAAAAGAAATGGTAAATTCGATGCTTTCTTTTTCGGGTTTAAGTGAAGGCTTTTGGGGTGAAGCTATGCTCACAGCTAATTATGTGCTAAACCGTGTTCCTAATAAACGGAACAAAGTTACTCCTTATGAGCTTTGGCACAAGAAAACACCAAATTTGAATTATTTTCGAACTTGGGGATGTAGAGCAGTCGTGAAATTACCCGAACCTAAAAAGAAAAATTTAGGTGAAAAAGGAATTGACTGCATATTTATTGGATATGCAGAACATTCCAAAGCTTATAGGTTTTATGTTATAGAACCTAATGAGGCATATTCTGTTCATACCATTATAGAGTCGCGTGATGCGATTTTTGATGAGCTGCGGTATTCTTCAATTCAAAGACCAAAAGATCTGATTTCAAGCTCAAGTGAGGAGCCTAAATCAGATGCTATGGAAGTTGTTTCAATTCCAGAAACACAACAACTTCGTAAAAGCAAACGAGGTCGAGTTGCGAAAAAATTTGGCGATGAATTTCAACTATTTTTAGTTGAAGGTTCGAGGGATAAAGTAAAGAAACAATATTCATATTCCTCTCATCTTGAGATTGATCCAAAGACTTTTAAGGAAGCTATGGAGTCTCGAGATGTTGCGTTTTGGAAAGAAGCGGTTGATGAAGAGATGTCATCCATTATGGAGAATAATGTTTGGGTGTTATCTGATTTACCTCCTGGTTCTAAACCTTTAGGATGTAAATGGATTTTCAAGAAAAAAATGAAGGTAGATGGAACCATTGATAAATTCAAGGCTCGTCTGGTCATACAAGGTTTTAGACTAAAAGCCGGTATCGATTATTTTGATACGTATGCACCGGTAGCACGGATTTCTACCATTAGATTGTTGCTTGCTTTGGCAGCTATTCACAATCTAGTGATACATCAAATGGATGTTAAAACAGCCTTTTTGAATGGTGATCTTGATGAGGAAGTTTATATGAAACAACCAGAAGGTTTTGTTCTGCATGGAAATGAGCAAAAAGTGTGTAGACTTGTAAAATCATTGTATGGACTTAAACAAGCTCCAAAACAATGGCATTTGAAGTTTGATGAAATTATTTTGTCTAATGGTTTTTCTTTAAACCAATCTGACAAATGTGTTTACAGCCGTTTTGATTCATCTGGATCTGGTGTGATCATTTGCTTGTATGTAGATGATATGTTGATTTTTGGCACTGATCAGAATCAAGTTAATGCAACAAAGAATTTGTTGTCTTCAAAGTTTTCTATGAAGGATATGGGGGAGGCGGATGTAATCCTTGGAATAAGGATTAAACGGATGAACAAGGGACTTGCTATTACACAATCACATTACATTGAAAAAATTCTCAAACGGTTCAATTACAGTGATTGTACACCTGTTAGCACCCCTATGGATTCAAGCATGAAGTTGATGCCTAATAGAGGTAGATCAGTTTCTCAACTGGAGTACTCACAAGCTATTGGTTCTTTGATGTATGCTATGACTAGCACTCGTCCTGATATAGCTTTCGCAGTGGGAAGATTGAGTAGATTTACTCATAATCCTAGTACTCAACATTGGCAAGCAGTTCATCGTGTTTTCAAATATTTGAAAGGAACCAAGGATTATTGTTTGTGTTATTCAGGATTTCCTTCGGTCTTGGAAGGATATTCTGATGCAAGTTGGATATCCAATAGAGAAGATCATTCTTCTACAACTGGTTGGGTATTTTTGCTTGGTGGAGGTGCTATCTCATGGGCATCCAAGAAGCAATCTTGCATAACTAGTTCAACAATGGAATCTGAGTTTATTGCATTGGCTACTGCAAGTAAGGAAGCAAAATGGTTAAACAATTTGATTTATGAGATTCCATTGTGGAGGAAACCGATTTCATCACTTTCTATTCGCTGTGATAGTGTTTCTACTATGAGTAAAGCTTATAGTCAAGTTTATAATGGTAAATCGAGGCATATTGATGTTAGACATGGGATGATTAGAAATCTAATCATGGATGGTGTGATTTCGATTGAGTTTGTAAAATCACAACAAAATTTGGCGGACCATCTCACTAAGAGTTTGGCGCGAGACTTAGTGCACAAGTCTGTTATAGGGATGGGCTTAAAGTCCTTATAAATTCTTATGAATGAGACACCCAATTCCCCTTTAATACAATGTTAGAGGTTGAATTCAATGAGGAAAGCTTATTTATATGAATTGGAACACACATTATTGTTGGATTAATGTCTAAGTCAGTAACCATATTTGGTATATACTTGACCTGAGTGTGCATGGTCCTTTTGGGTTGCCTTCACCAAAGCAACTTGACAAGGTAATTTGATATGAGAGAGGAGATATTATGATTT